TTACTAAGAAAAGCTTCTCATTTAATTTCTTGGAATATATAAGACCAAAAAAAAGGGAAAAAGAAATATATATATATATATAAGTTCTACAAATTGAAGATTTTAGGAATGATTTAAGTAGTATAACTATTAGTATAAAATTGCCAGCCAACTTAAAAAAAGAATGTAATTTGAATATAATTTGAATTATGGAGTAAGTTGACCAATACCAAAAATATATGTGGTTAATATTTGTCAAAAAATTATTAAAACACTTATTTAAATTAAGAACCTATTTTTTAATTTTTATTTTGACATAAAGAACCAATAGTACTTGTTTGTAGTTGAATTTACAAGAATGCATGTCTCTCGAAGTTTAGAGTACTGGTTTCTACTTTTTACTTTCCATTACCACTTCAAAGTAGCAAGTGTGGGAGAGGTGGAGTGATTTTGTGAGTGGAACAATAGATGGGGATCCACATGGCAGTGGGACATGGATCTAGACCACCTCTCTTACATTTTTCTTTACGGCCAAACGAAGATTGCAATACATTTTCCTAATTTTTTAAGCTTAGTATCAAGAAATTATAACTGTTAGTTTTTTGTTTTGATTTTTAAAATTAATAATTAAAATTAACAACAAATTAGATATAAATTTTTAAAATTAAAACTTAAAATTTCACAGTAATTAATTTATAAATCTTCTTAATTTTATTTTAAGGATTTAAAAATTTTGAAAACTAAACCACGCATTCAAATTTACATTTATTCTAAATAAAGCCTTAGCAATCATAAATAAATAAAATAGGACAATTAAATATGACTAGAAGAAGTATTATATGCATTTTGTTTCTGTTTTGAAACATATTTAATAGACTTGTCAAATTTGCAAGCACTATAATTAGCTTTTACTACGATATTGTTTTACGTTATGTGTTTATAATATTACATAATATTTTCAGTTTATAATCATGAAATACTATAATATAATTATTATTGTACCTATTTACTCATTTACTAATACATTATAATTATAAATAAGTTTTTGTAAGTTTAAAATCTTAAATGGTATTATATTAAGTGGTATTAAAAACTTACAATCATAATCTAGTATGATAAATATATGTATATTACCACATACCATCAATGATGTAGTTTGATAATAGAGTTACATGTATTCTTTATTCATATGTTTAAGATTTAATCTTTAATATGTATGCACCAAATAAATTATATTATCACGCTTTTGTTTGTCTCTTTTAAGCGTATTTAGTATAGAGATTTGAAATTAATAATTAGTAGTTTAGACTAATTAAATTTAAAAAATATTTAAATTATATACAATAATAATTATGGATCATTAGATATCATTTATTAGTTATTTACTGATTTGAATTGTTAATCCAAACACCTAATATTTGGTTTTAAATAAATTCCACAAAAAATTGTGTAATTCGTTTTTCAATCTATATCATTATTATATTTAGTTTGATTAAAAACTAATTATTTGAATTCCATAATTCATACCCTTATGTTTAATTTTATCAAAGTTTTGTGAAAGTCATTTATAATTCTATACTTCTTATGTTTTTCTTTTTGTTAACCTATATTTAATATGTTTGGTTTAATTAAAAAGTGTGGAATTTAATTGTAAACTTATAAATCATGAAATTTGTTAGACTAATTCCGCACAAATGGTGAGGTTTAGGAAAAATTTTATAGTTAACTCAATTCTATACTTATTTTGAACAAAAAATAAGTTTTTGGGAAATTCAATTGTATTTCATACTCTAATTATTTTTTTAATAAAAAATAACCTCATTATTTGTGAATGAGAGTGAGAGTTCAAAATGGAAGAGTATTTAGTAATCATTAAAAATATAGACTTCATTACCAAATTTCATTAAAAATGTTTATCAAAGAACTCATTAAAATTGATAGCATTTAAATTAGCCTATTTAAATGTTTAGGAATTATTTTGGTTAAAAGATTCAGAATTAAATTCCATACTTTTTAATCAAATCAAAGTATAAGTATAATAATCTCTTTTCAATAAAAATGAGAGAAGTGGAATGAATAATAATTTGAGAGATAATTACCTCTTGTTATATAATTTAAAATAAAAATATGTATATAAAAAGTGTATAATTACAAATGAATTCTATAAAATTTTAATTAAATCAAACACAATCATATGAATTTTTATCATTAAATTAAAATAAAAATTTTTGTAATTAAATCAAGCACAATAGATTTAAAAATTGCATTCCACACTTTTTTATAGAATAAAAGTTTGCGCCCTCCGTTATCAAATTGGAATAAGGTTGAGTCCGTCTTGATACTCCTATATTTTTCAGCTTTTTGATGAGTAATACATTTTTCTTTTAAATATGTCTAACCATCTGCACTTTTAAAATAATTTAAAGTAACTCTTTAAAAATTTTATAAAAATGCAAAACGCTAAAACTATTGGATTGCTATTCAACCTAGCCCAAACTTGAAACCTAGTTAATCTCCTTTAAAAGAAAAAGGGACAATGAGATTAATTTTTTATATTTTCTAATTACTCTTCCGCAAAGAAACAAAAAAATGAAATAAAATAAAGGAAATGAATTAAGTACCTTATCGTTGAAAAGTGAGATGCCGCTGCAATTACCACTGTTGAAGAAGCTAATCAGTTTTGGTAGCCCTCCTAATGTATTAGAATCGCACTCTGTGCTTCTACTTCCTCTTCGTCGAGAGTGTACTCCCTTTGGTCCTGTTCGATGGCCTCCAATGCCTCCAAATTCTGAAACAAAAGTTGATTTTGTAACTTTGCAGCCGTCAAACTGAAAAAAACTTTAGTCAACGGAATCTACACCGCTGATTCATTGGACGCACATATGTATCTACGGTTCGGATTGATTTTGTAACAAAGGTAGGATTGAATAGTGCCGATGCTTGACCCGTTGACCACGGATTAGAGCGCAACAGGTCATACCAAGGCCAGATATATGTACGAGTGGTCCATCTTTTTAAGATGATTCAATTAGTTCCCTGTTATTTTAATTGATGCAATTAAGTCCCACCTTTACAGATTTACGCCTTATATTTGCCCTTCTAATATTGTCGTGAAGTTGTATTGGAAGTCAGCTTTCATGTACCATACGTTTGTTTTATCAAATTGAATATTATATATCAACCTACCTAATTAAGTAGTGACTACAGATTTTTTTTTTTTTTTATGAATTAGAGTTGTAAATGAGCTCAGCTAAATTGATAGCTCATACTTAAGTTGAAGTTGAAGCCATAATAATGAATTCAAGTCGAGTTCAAGTTTGAAAGTACTCAAGTGAGTTTAAACTTAACTAATAAGTTTGAGTAGCCTCATAAGTTTTTAATTTTGTTTGAATTTAAACTAGAAAATACTTATAAGTTTAAAATCAAATAGTAATTACTTTTATTGTTTAAAAGAAAGTGATTTTACTATTTAAAATTAAATTAATTAAATTCTAATTCAAGTTTAAATCAAATACTTACAAGTATATTGTGAATTGTATCAAGTTGACTTCAATACTTAAAGGGTTAAATTATATGTAGGTAAAATCATATTTTTAAGCTCTTGAACTTTAACCTAAATTATTGGTAAGCCGCTCAACTTAAAAAGTGGTGAATAAACCCCTGGTTTTTATATTTTATTTATTGAAATCTAACTTTTGGAATCCTTCTTCGGTTCCTCAAAACACAAATGGAAAAAAAAAAAAACGCTACTATTTTTCCCTCAGTCTTTTAATAGAGAAAACAGAGTACTGAAAAAACAATGGAAGATACCTGCATCCGGAATTCATGAACAAGTGAAATCAAAGGAACGACTTTCGGACTCCGATCGATCTCCACGTGAACTTGCCGGAACTGATAAACTGCGCTCCATCCGATAGCAAGCATGTAGAGACAGCTTTTCTCCTGGCAACTCTCAACCAAATCAAGTGCTTTCTTTAACACCTCCTCCAGCCCATCCAACGGTTCTTTTACAGCGGGCAACGTTACCAGGTCCGTAGATTTCAGCTTCTCTAAAAGGTTCCCTACGAGGTTCACATGCTCCGCCAGTTGCGCGCAGTTTCTGCGGTGCGTCATGGAGTTTGGCGCTGAGGATATGATCATGGTTATGAGGCCTGAAGCGTCCAGTACTCCTGATGATGCCGGAGCGAAGGTAGCCATGCCGGTAAAGTGGGGTGCTTCGTGGTAATTGGTTAATAGTATTTTAATAATCAAGATAGAATCAGAGAAAAAGAGTGTGAAATTGCGTACTTGTGGAAGCTCTAGGATTTACTTTTTTGGGTTTCATTGCCTTTTCCTCGGTTTTGCTGCTTATGCTTTCTCCTTTTTGCTTGTTGGGCTCTGCTTTAATGTTTCATGCTTCATGACCTGGTAAGGAATAAAAAGAGAGTTTAGTTCAAGGTTTTTAAAATTGGACCGGATTGATCGGTTGAACAGGTCAAATTGATACCCGATAGTGAAAATGGTTCGGTTCACATAAAAGAACCATTTGTATGTCAAAGTCGGTCAAAGTCGATAAAACCGATGTAACGGTGGAACTGAAAAAACCACCGGTTCAATCTCACATGCAATCTTTTTTCCAATTTCACCCCCACCATTCCTTTGTTATACCGGTTTTACCCCTTAATTTCAACAAAATTGCAAAATCACCAAAAACTAAATTAGAAACCCCTATTACAAACAACGTGGGCTCGGTGCAGAGGGCACGATTGCCGGCAGTGGCTGGCGTGCAAGCAACGTGGGTTCGGCGCAGCAAGCAGCAAAGGCTGGTTCGGTGTAGCAGCAGGGGCGTAGGGGCATGATGGCTCAGGCGTGCAAGGGCTTGATTGTGCGGGATCTTGGTGCAGAGGAGAGATCTGGGCGCAGAAGGTGAGGGGATTCAGTGCATAGCAAGGCTGGTGCAGAGCGCGAGGCACGAGGCGCGGGCGTGGGACGTGGGGCGTGGGCGAGGGGCACGGCAAGGGCAGGAGCGTGGTGCAGTAGGAGGCTGGTTCGGGTATGAGGGAAAGAAGAAGGTTCTAGAGAGCAAAATGTTTAATTTTTTTTTCTTTTTTTTTTTTTTTTGGGTTTTGGGTTTGGTATTTGGGTTTTGGGTCATTAGGTTGTTTAATGGGCTTAATTGAAATGATTAAAGTAAATGATTAAAGTAGCAAAAAATAATATTAAGATTGAAGTGTTGAATATTTAAAATTCAAAGAAGCTGGGAGTGGGAATTGGGAGTTTGGAGTCTGGACGGTGGACGCTGCACATCTCCCTTTGATTTTGGACCGATCGGTTCATCAGTTGAACCGGTAAACTCAAAATGGTTCAATGATCGGTTCGGTTTTAAAAACCTTGGTTTAGTTCTTATGGAAGCTACTAGTGGCTTCACTTTGAAAGATTACTTTAATTAATTGAATAGATAAGATAAGCTTGATCTAATTAAACAATAGTATTGTTACACATATAATGAGGGATCAACTTGATTAAGGTCAGTTGAATCAAGATGCACAGCAGAAACAATCACTACTAGAATTCATTATTTCAC